ATAAATAAATTAGATAAAAATAATAGAATTTACGTGCTATTTATTCTGGCCACCTAGCTCAGTCTAGGTATTTATTTTGGTAAAATGAGTAAATATTTCCCAAGTATTTAAATKTCAATACGCCTACACTACATATTTATCGAAATCCTACGAATTATAGTTGGTTACTATAGTTGAGGTATAGAAAGAAACTAGAAAGACTTAGTTAATTCCGCATTGATAACAATAATTGTTTAGTGCATCGAGTGMCTTTTACTTTGATGGTTATGGCAGCACTTGCATACACAAAACACAATAATTATAGGTACCTACACTTGTCATACATAATATGATGATAAAAATTCATAAATTCAGATRCTTCAAATAGTTAGCTATAATTTTTAAACTTAGTCTATTAAACAATTTTTGATTGTGACTCTGTAATCAATATTTTTCTCTYGAGTATCATCATCATGAATTATTAACTATAGGTAGGTGCAGCACTTTTATGGAAAAAATAGGAGAATTCAGTAAAATATATTTATTATTATTAAACGTGCATGTTTTATATTAAATTTAATCTAGTTTAATCTAGTATTATTCCATTACATTTATATAATATTATAATATTTRATCACCWAGTATCAACTATTATCCGATGAATTATTGCGAATTTATGATATAACTTATTAGAGATCTGATAATGACATAATAGCCATAATAAATCTATRCAATTGTTATTATAATAAATTAATTATCGTATTATTGATTTTGTATTCCGAGACGAGTCTTATTTGAGTACCTACAACAACAATACAAATCTATATTAAGCCATAAATTATTATAGCTTTCGTGTATCAAATAATAACTATTTTAATATAGGTTACACTATTGGTTGTCTAAATGAAACTTCTTATTTTTCTGAACTTCAATATTTAAAAAATGTAATTATGCGCAAGAATACTTTACATAAAATATGATTTTTAGGTTTTACACGATACACTATATACTACATGTATAGTCATAGGCGGCATCTAGGGGGGGGGG